AAATATTATTCTGGCTTTTGTGAGGGATGAAAAAGATATGGGTTGAAAAGTTGGTTTAAAAGGAAATTCGTGTGGATATACCTGTGTCAAAAATTTGAATATCTTTCTAAAATATTTATAATCCTTTTAAAACGAAATTCACTGTCTTGACAGTAGATTCTGTGATAGATACACGTATTAAGGATTCAACGAGGTGAACTGTCCTCAGCAAGTTGGGGATGCGGCTGACTTTTCAGGAATTTAGATCGTACAATAGAAAGTGAAGATAATGGTAGATAGGTATCTGAGAAAATGTCACTTGAATACCATTGACTCGAAGATTAAGGATCCGACTTTATCGAATCGACATTGAACTTTTAGATTTTTATTTAACAAGTATAATGTTATTTCTCTCATAAATGTATATGTATATCATACGTACTATGTAATCACATGTGGTGTAAAGATCAATATTGTTACATTTTTTTTAATTCATGCTCTAGTAATGTTGGCACAACACGATTAACATTTCCCTATGATTTCTATGTGAATATAAACACAGCTAAATTTAGAAATATCGTGTAAGATAAAAATTTTGACAAGCGATCATTCGTCACAGATTACTAATGCCAGTGAACGTAAAGAGGAATTTATTGATTCAGTGATCTCGAGAATTCTTATGCAACGTCGATATTAAAGTTCAAAAGCTAATTATTTTTCTCTTCTGCTTGATACTCTTCGTAGATTTCGTAACGTACCTTGTTAACGCTTCTAAATCTGTTATCACACAAATGTAATAAGTGTAAATCTGACCTTTGTATCCCTATAATTTTCTTTCGTATGAAAGAACGCTATCAGTAACCCTAGTTCTTTTTCTAACAGAGATATGGTAATATTTAGTAATATTTTATATGTCCGCGAACCTAACCTAGTTTTCAGTCACTTATAAATTTATTTGAAACGAAACAGATATTATACGAATTGTATATATTTCTTTCACATTGGAAACAATTAAGAGCTTTGATTTTTAAACTCGACTTAATTATTTGTCATATTTATTATTTAACGTAAATATTAATATTAGGTGTGTACTGTAAGTTATGTGTATAGATAGTCTATGTCTAATGTTTTAAGAGTGACTTTCACGTGCTTGTCTTCCCCTTATAGACTCGTGAGAGGACATCAGCGATATTTCTTAATGCTCTTATACTTTCTATTTGAAAATCCTCTTCATCGAGGACATATGTCTATTAATGCCAAATATCGTGTCATTTGTCAAAATATTTGCCTCTCACAATATTTCTAAATCGAATTGTGTCGAGTTCAAGTACCACATCTGTTGGAGAAAATAGCTTTAAACTTCCATATCTATGTGTCATTTGTAAATAACATGCCTATATTACTGAATTCTCTATTTATCTTTCACTGTAATATTATGCTCCATCGCTATTCCATTATATAACCTGCAAATGGTCCATTTGCAATAATTATCAATCTGCAATAAATTCAAAATCACAATAAAAAGTTGGAGTTAAAGTCAAAAATTTTTTCAGAAGCAAATAAAAGTTCAGTAGTTTAGGGGATTAATACTTACAATTAGTCGTTCGAGTCAAACGAAGCAATCGTATTTCTATTTATGCCGAAAAACATCGAACGAGACGGAATCGTACTTGTTTTTATTCGCGTAGAAAGACGCCAGGCGGCGCGAGCGTGCTTTGTTTACCTTAAGCGTCAGTCAGACAGAGGCCGCGTTACGGTAGACAATGAATGCGCACCGTCAATTGCACATCGCGACGCGACAGCCACTTTTCGATGTAAAATGTGAATGTGATCGCGTTGTGCGACTCTCGAACGAATAGTATAATAAATACTGCTCTCAACACGTGGACCCGCTGAATTCTCACTGTACTCCTTTCTGCAATCGAAATCAACTATTTTACATGTGACAACCTAACCTCAATCAAACATGTGTACCACGAACAAGCCAATGGAGCATTGGAAGCGAACTAGTATATTTTTGCACAGAAGGGAGCAGAGTAGGACGTGGCCAATCACTGATTCATCTCCCGGTATAGCAATTTCTGGCAAAGCCTTTCAGACTCCCGACACTTGGCTGATTGATTCTCATCGGCTCATTCTCTTTGCAACTTTATTTGCACGGATATCGGCTCTCCTGTCCGTTCGATAATTGACCCATTTGCGCGATTCCGCTGCGTGCTGGAACAATCGTGTTACTGTCAATAGCATTCTTCGCGGGTATTTTAAACAATACGATCATTACTCGCGTGGTGGCGCGGTATAACGACGGGATAATATTGCTCGCCGACATATTTGTTCTTCCGTTGAAAAACGATTCTTCTGTGTTTTATTCCGTCTAGACGTTGCAACATACTTACGGATTTTCCAGTTGTAACTGCTATTGGGGTACACTGGAAGGGTTGAAAAATTTATTGGAACTGGTTAGAATCAATGTACTATATATTATATCGCAAATGTGCGCCATGGTCTGAAAGAATTGAAAGGCGACTTCTCAGTCTGTTTTTAATGCTAGTTCGATCTTTCATGCTTAGGTGGATGATTGCCAACTTCTTCCATGATGGTTCTTTAAACCTACATAACCAAACTTTTTGCTGTTCGTGAAGAAGAGTGTGATTTAGAAAAAAAAATACTAGAGTAATGCGAAAAAGGAATAGTATATTAGTAAGTATATTAAATAACACACAACAACTATTAGTAAACGAATGTGTAATTTCCAAACCATATAATGTTATAGGAAATTAATTAATTATTTATTTGTACTTTCTTTTTTAGGAACATAATGTTCAGTTAAATTGTATTATATATTGAGCATTTATTTACAATAGTATAGACAAAAATTTCTCTAAAGGAACCAAATTCAAGGGAGACAATTTCTACTGTCATATTTATCTGGATGTCATACATGCATCTGTCCTGTTCTTCTTATGTGTAATTCTGAATTGCAATGCATCTGTTTACATCGAGCACAGTGTTTGCGTACGTTGCTAAAGAGAAACGGAAACAGCGCGAGCCCTTGCGGTTTCTCCCATTGTATACGTCACTGATTAAAGATCGCGGCTCAAAGCTCGTGCGGCAGAAATTAGTGTCATTTAGTGACGCTGCCATAATTGCGGCGCGTCGAAGCGTTCTGCCTTTTCGTTCCTGACCTTTCTGCACGCGTTCCTCCTTAGAGGTGCGTCTATTCCAGCCATCGATTATGTTCGATCTGGATCCTTGATCATTGAGATCGTTATAAAATTTATAGTAATTTACGCGATACGAATTTAATGGTATAGTGAGTATATTATTAAATTTATTTTAGATCAAACATTTAGCTTTGTAAAGGACACTTTTTATCAGTATTTTTTTTTAATATTCCTTTTTCTAAATTTATCTATTTAGGGATTTTTTAGATTTGCATATAGGAAGTGATTATCCTTCTTATATTTATGACTGTTCAAGAATAATATAAATAGAAAGTAACCTACGAAGGAACGATCAACGTGCAGAGGTCTCGATTTATGTTTCACGGTTAATAAACCCTTGAATCTGACATGAAAATGATAAATGCAGGATGTTTTATGTAACGCGACAATGTAACGGCGTACAACCTAGTTGGCATCCGAGGTGTGATTACGTGATAAATTTACGAATTTCACAGCTTTATTTTTATCCAGATCATATTGTTTTTGGCGTATCAGCTTGTTTTGCGATTAATCGTTTAAACATTGTAATCATCCTGTCCGATTATTGGCGTTTGTTGAGTTTTGGGGCGCCAATGATAAACGTACAGTACATTAAATGCTAGCGCAGAATGTTCACGTTCGAGATCTCATTTTGGACTATCAACGAAATTTCATTTTTTCACAGCCTATATAATTAATATTTTCCAATTAAAGGAATATAAATAACTAAACACGAAGTAAAATATCGAATATCGTACAATATTTAATTATGGAAATTAAAATGAATCTGACGGTATGGAATATCAGTAAAATATTATTTCTGTCATTAATTTTTTATTTGCCTATCGATTCTTTATTTATTTCGCTCTCCATCCAGTTTGTTATTGATTTTATTATTCTTTGTAGGTATTTAAATTTACAATCAGCTTTTACAATGGTTGTTTGTGATACAAGGAAATGGTTGCTACAATGTGTCTAAGTGGATAAAGCGAGGCATTCGAGGTGCTTTCTATTTGTTACTTAAAATACCCCAAGTGAGCCCAGTACGTTGAACCTTCAAATCTGATTAACACCAGAAAATAGTTGGCTTTGCGTACAGTGTAAGATCAGAAATTACGAAACAGCAATGTCTTGTAACGTGAAAATGGGACGAATATTCTGTTTTATAATTACTCTACAAGAATATTAATTCGAGTGGATCAATTTACGGAATTACACGGTATGCATTAGGCGGAGAACTGAATTAGAGTAAAGAGGTATTATCTTTCCAATCTACGAGATGACGTGATACAATAGTAGTTAAAAAGTATGTCATGTCCTTTAAGCAAAAATGGTGAGCATCCAAATTTTTGATAGTCTTCCTTTCTTCAACTTCGGCCATTAAATGGCCAATCTTTCCCAAGTCAGGGTTCCCCAAGGATAGAGATGAGGGATTGCTGTAGAAAGTTAAAATGTAGCAAGTAATATGGAAAGCTTGCATTACGTTGCATTAGAAAGTTCACCGACAGTCGACCAACTCTCAAAAAATGGTCTCAGTAACGAAGAAAAAAGAATTAAATTTTTCCTAAGAAATATGTCTTTCTAATCCTTTACATTAGACCAATATATTCTTCACTTTTCTAGTTAATATGTGGATAGCACGAAGATAACATAAAGGTTCTATTTCCAAGATTAAAAAAGGAATCCTAAATAGTCTTAAAAGCTAATTTCTGAGGTCTTCTTCTTAACGTGTTCTCAATTATAATTCAACCATAGTAACTTTCTAGATAAAGGAAACTCCTAGAATCTTAAAAATTGTCCTATAAATCCCAAATTTCGAAGCCTTCAAAGTACCAAACACCTACATCATTAATTACAATTTTTTAAAATGTCTTCAATCATCCCCTAACCAACAACCAATAACAAGCAATACCTTGACAGACAGAAAGTCTGACACCATAGTTACCATAAATAGAACCATAAATAAAACCCGGTCAAAATCCTATTCTCATTTTTACCATTGCTATCTTACAAATCTCTGGAAACCTAACCTACAAAACCACCAAACCACCACCTTCGAAATTCTACCTACGGTTTTCTCATTAACCGTTGCCTTACTCTCGATCGTTCCCTCGTGATTCAGTAAATTAAAGAGAAAGACAGAGACGGAGAAAGAGAAATAGAGAGAGGATCGATCTTCAGCGGCACGATTAGCAGCACCGATAGCCAACGCTGGTCCTCGCCCGTTTTCTATTCTAATTCTGTTGCTATTCTAGTCCACGACCGCCGGCCAATGGGCTACGTCCGCCAGCCGTGTAAACCTTTCTGTCTCTCTCACACGCACACTCGCCTTTCCCTTCTCCCCCTCCGCCCCGTACCTCGTGTCAACCGCAGTCGTTCTCGAGGCATCGCGTGCACCAGATTATTCAACTGCATCCTCCTTTTATTTGGCGCGTTTATCAGTGGCGTTCACGTTTCTAAACCCTGGGAACCGATTACGTTCGATAACAGGGCAAAGCGGAGAATTCTACGGGTCGGTTCATCGTCGACGTCGAGCATCCTAATAGGGGAACGAACGACAGTGCCGCCGGTCTCTTTCGTCGTTCGTACCGGTACGAATTCACGTACGGAACAAAACGTACATTGAATCGTACCAATCTTTTTCGCGTGCAAGAAGAGAACTGTCGAAGGGAAGGGGAAAAAGAAAGGAGAAGGAGTGCGAAGTCTGGGGTGAAAGACTGGGTGACCAGTGGTGTACGCTGGAAAGGAAGGGTGGAAAGGAGGATTCTGCGAGGAGGGAGGCCAACGTGTGACTTAGAGGGCGCGACAGAGAAATGCAGTGGCGTCGGCAGCGAAGGGTTATCCACGTGATCGGCTCCTCCAATCACGTTCTACTTTTAGCGAGGTACCAAGACGGTACGGAATCCCTGTGGAAGAGACTGATCATGGTCCCTAGCGGAGAGCTTCCTGATGCTTTTCTGTTCATTTTTTGGTCCTTTCTTTTCTTCTTTTCTATCTATTTAGTTATTTGTTTCTTTACTTTCCTTTCGAAAAAGAGAAAATACCGTTTGTTATTATAGATTACGCACTGTAAATATTTTTAGTTAAGAGAATATCGCAAACGCTTCGTTTGACCCATGACCAGTCACGATTTTATAGAGTTAATGTTAGAAAGTTTTATTAGCCAGTGAATTAGAGCAAGATTAAACGATAATAGTGCCACTAGCTGTTTAGTATGAACGATGTGTGATGGGGATAGGAAGCTTGTAGATTGTAACATTGTTTCACCTGTTAGACGTTAGTGCTTAGAAGCTTTACACACTTTAGATAATTAAATTTAGAGATTGTGAATTAGAGTGTGGTAAAATTAGGCGCGTTCATTGCTGCTGCTCTTTTCTTCTTTCTTTTTTTTTTGTTTTTGACTCCTTGACTACGACCTCCATATCTCGAATGGACCTTGCGTTTTTCACATGTCGACGACGTCAGATAAAGATACTGCCTTATGTAAGTGTTCTTTTATTTTATCTAACGACTCTGGCGCTCTGCGTTGTACAATTCGTTCAAGCGCCTTTATAAACGAGTACTCACTATTTTTATTCAGTTTTTATATACTTTTTAACTGCCATATGCAATCTTTTCTAACCTCGTTTTATACGAACTGTTCGATTTAGTCGCTAGAAAAAATGTTATTATTCTTGTTATTGTTAATATTATTATTACTGTTAATTAAAAAGGTAAAAAGTATTTCTCGAAATCTGATTTGTTTTTCAAAATGCAACGAGCGTGACTCGCTTGTATCAACAGTGTGGACTAATATTACGACTCGGTGTTTGTTTATTCAATTATGTATAACTGTTGAAGTTTGTGGCAAAACAACTTCGGTGTTAATTTATCCAATTGATCCGTTGAATAATATATTACAATAAGAAAAAGAACACTTCATATTTTTTAATTTTTATTTAGAACAAATTTTCGTGTCTATTTTTATATAATATGCTATAAAGAAGTATTATATAAATATTTTAGCATATCTAAACGTGATTTTATTTTATATAATGTGGTCGTCAAGGGGTTAATTTTGCTTGTCACTGTCTAAAGAAAAAATACACAGTGCATAGTACTTGTTATTTTCACTCTGCTTGTCAAATCAGTGCACCAGCGTCATTCGACATCGAAATTACAAGAACACTGTTGATTGCACTTTTGTAAAAACTTGTAACCTTTCAGCGAACATGATAATTCTCTGATAATTCGTGTCATGATATGTCTGGGACGTAAGATATAATAATAAACACAGACGTTGATTATTGGGTCAGAAATTAATTAACGCTAATGTATTAGATAGTCAAAGATACACTATCATCCAAAAGTTCGAGATCGTTAAATTACCTTTAATTTCGTTTCTTATTTAAGCGACTATAATTGTATTGACAATATTTCTTGTGTTACAGAAGAATTCCTTTAACGAGATAGCAGATTTTGCCTGGTAATTGCCATAAGTTTTATTGCAAATTTTGTTATATTCGTTATAAAATATTTAAGATATATGAAAAATGTTAAATTGTGATATTATACAGGAGGTTTCAAACTTTCAGTTCAGTAGAAAATAGTCATTTATTTTATTAGAGACTTTATTCATTCGTGATATTAATATTGATCGAATTAAAACGTGTGAAAATTGTTACAATATTAAATAACATTCATAAATTTTCAAATCACTCGATTGTTTATACGAAACGTAAAAGATTAAAATTATCGTGAATCATAGAAGAGAACCGTGTAATGCGGGTTGCTCGACGCCAGGCGCTCAAAATCTGCATCTTAAGCCTTCCTTAATCAAAAATAAAACGAAAATAGGTATATATATATATATATTCATTAGACAAAATATATTTCTTTCGTCATCCTCTACCATTCTCTATATACATTTAACTTATTTTGAAACACCTTGTATATATCTAATTAAAAATTAAAATTAAATTGACCATTGCTTTAGTATCTTCAGATAATAAATTGCATTAATTATAAACAATATCATACACCCTTTTCAATTAAAAATTTCATCAGTTTCTTTTTGTAAATTAAAATCTTGTATTTAATCGTTGCATAATTATTAGTTATACCATTGTGCCCTCTTTGTACCATAATTTACACCATAAATGTGACTAGATAGCGTAGTAAATTGCTATTTAAATTAACACTGGTCGAACTCTGTATATTAATTATTAGCCCAGTTCACGAACTCAAACTTTTGGATGACAGTGTGTCTAATTGACAAGCCTTAAATGGTAGTTCTTCAAGATTTCTTTCTCACGTGAGACTTATCGTACATATCAAGACTACTATAGTGTATTTATTTCAGTACAAGGGGATTTCTTTGTGGATACCATTGCACTCGAATGGCAAATTCCTCTGTAACTCGAGTCTAATCAGTGGCATTCGAACCGGTGCCTTTTCTGCTTGACAAATGGTTACTATTTCCTGAATTATGTTGGAGCAGTAAAAGCAGTCACGTTTTCTCGAAAACTATTTTCGATCCTGTCGAACGCGTCATAGAGAGGCGACGACAGACAGATGGAGCCAATTACTATGTCATTGAAACATGAACGTACATTGATGAGCCTATAAGCAGGAAAATAATTGGACGAGGTTTAGCTCGTTCTTCTAACGAAATTTTTTTCAACCAAGCTTTCAATATTTTGCAAAAACCTGTGTAGATAATTAAATTTGATAATTAATATCGATAACTAAAATTGGGATTATCGAATAAATCAAAGCGAGAAAAAAATGGACAAGAAGAACTTAATAAACAATAATAGATTATAGAAAAATAAATAGAATTTTTCCATAAATAATTAACAAAATATAAAAAAAAATCAGAATTAAGTTAAAGTCAAGGTAAAGCAATATACAGTCATAACAATGGCACTTCCATCTCTAAATATACCATGGAATCTCAGCAAAACGCGTTCTAATTTTATTACCAACTCAAATCTGCAATGAGTTATAAAATAAATATAGCAAGTGAAAGAAAAAGTAGCGAGAGATCGGAATTATAAACAGAAAAATATCAGTGTCGAAAGTTAAGAAACTTCCATTGTAACACACCCCCAAAACACCCCCCATTATTCGTTGAAAAGTTAACCAAATCCGACCAACCGTATTGTCTAATTCGATTTTCCAGCTCCACCTGGAGAAAAAGACGAAGAAGAAGGGTTGCGAAACGGGTTTATGGATGGCAAAGAACATGACACGAGCACGCACAGCTTCAGTCGGAACGCGCAGAGCGGCTACAAACCTCGTAAGAGCGGAAACAGCGACGGCAGCGCCTATGCCGGTAACTCGGATGAGCACAAGAACGAGTCGTTCGGTTCGCCTTCTCAACCAAAGATCATCTTCAACGAGGACGAGTACACGAGAATCACGACCCCCAGGCAGGACATGTTGTTCAAAAAGGGCTACCTCTCCAGGAAGAAGCCCTGGGTCGGAAACGTAAACACTAGCGCCACATCTTCCACCACCGAGAGCCAATCGGCGTCGCATTCCACCGCAGGTAGAGGTATAGGTAGAAACGTGATGCATTTCATCGAGTTTCTGGCTTGTCTCGTCCGCCTTCCTGGTCGTGACGTCGTTTCCGGGAAACTGCTTGGAGTTACCCCATCCACCCTCGTGAAGTTTGTATCACTTTCTATGTAACTCTCTGTTGTATCTTGTTGGGGAGGGTCAACGAGAGACGAGTAGAGTATCGGTCCGTTCTTTGTCCCAGTGAATGATGGATTCGAGAGATTTCGTTGGGGATGTTTGTTGAAAGTTCTTTTTGTTTCGAACTTACTAATAGTTTGTGTCAAGGTTCCTTACTTTTCAAAATTCTCAATTGTATTTTATTTTAAACGCGAGATTTTCGAGGTCTGCAATATATTCGTCGGTAGTGCATAACTGGATGTAGGTGCAACAGAAGTTGATATCTTTCTGAAATAGAATCTTTTGCTTTTAGACTTGTTAATCTAATTTCGTGAGCTTTAAGACCCTCCAAGACTGGGTCTGTACTGAAACTTACTTATCTTCTGAGACAAATTAACTCGTTATTCTCCTCAGTTACTTCAAACTTGACAGATATCTGTGCTTTTGCAATTACAAAGTAAACATTCCCAAACTAATCCACTTCTTAACACGCGGGGTTTCAGTGTGGAGTTAGTGTCGTAGATGGCGCTGTTTGCTGATGAATTCGCGTATGAATTATGCGTGGCTGAGACGATGAAGAATTAGGTATATCTTAATAGGCCCACCTTCTCTGAAGCAGACATAAAACTGAATAATATTTTCCTTGTAAACATTCCAACTTTAGGGAGGATCAAGATTACTCCTCTCACCTCTGAGCTGTCTCACGAGCCATTTTCTGAGCAACACGTCTGTATGTATGTATGCTCGGTGCTCATCGAGTTTTCTAAAATTCGCGATCTACGTAGAGCATCGGAAGAATCGTCGGAGATAAATACCGTGATTTAAAAAAAGAAAAAGAATTGGAACTTCTAACCGGGCTACCAAGTGACGTACGAAACATGGGAACTGCACCCTTCCATTGACACATCGCGATTTGTTCTCTCTGTGCCTTGATGCATCAAGAATGTCGAGTATTCCGAGTTCTTTGTTTGCTCCCTTTGTCTTACCCTGCTCTCGTTAATTGCAGACGGCAGCGAAACAACCGAGGATCAACAGCTACTAGATAGGGACTACGCTATCGGCGAGTATGCGCCAATGATGGATTCCAGCGCTCAGTTAGACTACGGAACGTTCTACGACCACGTGGGTGGTTATTATTACGAGTATCCTGTGATGTTGGTTGGTCCAGCACCAATACCAGCTCAGGTCGCACCTAGTGTCCTGGCAGCTGTGCCTTGTGCCCCAGTGCCTCTTAGGCCGATGCAATGGGTCAATTCGTCTTTCGTGCCCAAGATTCCTAATAATCCGTACTGCATGCTGAGTTATGAGGTATAGAGAAAGCCGTTGATTCGTCTATTGGTGGAATGTTATGTAGAAATGTACGAGTACAGATAGGCTTTTCTTTTCAAGGGTAATCAGGGTATGGAGAATACAGTAATGATGGAAGAGCAAGAAAATGCAACTGTTGCAGTTGAGAATTCCAATGGAGCCTGCAACAAGAGTGGAACAGGGAGCACTAGTTGCAGTGGTAGCGTAGCTGGAGAAACAGAGGAGCAGCCTATAGAATTCGGCAATACTACAGAGGAACTGCAGGTGGACGAGCAGATGGAGGAACAAATGGAGGAGCAGTACGAGAACGAGCAACAGGCAGAAGAACAGTGTTTGGAGAATGGGATTGACGGTGGTCCCTACTTTGAACCTATGCTGCTACAGCAACCGGTACACGTTTCTCACGTGATACCAGCAGTTCCTCAGCCTTACATGTACCCTGGCCACTACATGTTTGGTCCTCCTTTTATCGACGTAAATGGTTAGTTGATAGCAGAGAGCCACAAGAGGGCTGCCGACAGCGGTCTTCCCGGCACTCCCTTACTCTTTTCTTCTACATCTTCCTCTTCTCTGTCGTTGGATTCTCGAAAGAGAAGAGTTACCTTTGCTCCCTTGCTATCGCATGACTTTAGACGCGAACTTTTCTCTCGCTCTTTATCTCTCTTATAGCTTTGGTTCTGTTCATGGACGGATGGACGGAACAACGGACGAACATGCGAAGGTTGTTTTTCTTGCGGCTAAGAGAGAATCTGCGCACTTCGGGGAGGGAGCAATGCAACGTTACGCAATCTGCGATTTATGCTGATTCTGGTCGTTTCGACTGTTTATGCTCGTGAAAATTTTCTTCCTTCAGAGATTTTTCTTTTACTTTTAGCTAGAGAATTGTTTTGCTAAATTTTAATTTCTTTACGAGAAAGGTTTAAGTAGGAAGCAGAAATTGCAGATATTGGTGGAACTAGAAATTGCGAATGTACAGTGTACATGCACATTTTTTGGCAATATGTGTCTTATTTCTTCCATAAAATCAAAGGGAAAGTTAGTAAATTAATAGTATACAAGATATACTGCTTAGATTGCTTGTGTAGAAATAAGTAAAAAATATAAAGTAGAATCTTTGTTAAACGAGATTTTGCGCTCAAGAAAATCGCTGTATTACTTTGATCGATGCTTCACTTTTTCTTTGCTTCATAAATCATTGACAATTATTCTCTTTAATTAGTCTTCCCTCTGACTTTTCGTTTTCTATAAGAATGGTGTACGTATCACTCCATTTCTATTTAACATGGTCCTACTTTATTATATATTATTTTTTTGTTCCAGTCTTATCATGAAATTTCAGACCAATTTTTTGGTATCATTCCAAATGGAAAAATTTGTATTCCATGCTTTTAACTTAATTTTGCACAAGGAATCCAGCATCTAATATTTGACAAAGCAGAAGAAAGAAATAAACAGAGCTAGTTTCCACGAAGTGAAGCGATTCAATGAAGCAACAAAGTTGACAATGCTGTTGAACGATTGATAAAATACCACGCGTGTTCGTGTGTTCAAGAATGTTGGAAGTACATTACGCAACTTGGTTGTCACTGCCACGAGAGAGAGAGAGAGAGGGGCCAGGTCAAAATGCTATATATAAATAAATTAGTAACGTGAAAGAAAAAGACTACAATGTAACGAACGATACAGCGCGATATTTATTCGACTGCTCCTTCCCCGCGCTGCGTCAGCTTAGGCGTTAGTAGTACGTTTGATTGTACCTGTTTCTAATGTTAAATGAGAACAGAGTCGGTTGGATGCGCGGCCAAGAGAAAGGGATATAGCCAGATTCATGACTGCTGTCCCGTCCATCGGCATCATTGCTGTTTTATTACCGCCGTTCCTCTACCACATTCAAGGTAAAAGGTAATAATTCGCAAAGAGAGCCGCTACTCTTTAGATACGATCGCGGAGATGCGGAATAATCGTTCCTTTGTCGTTGGATTTGTCGTTCCTTTTGTCAGCACGCTGTCCAAGAGTGAAGCTTTTATCTCTGATTAAATCTAGTGGGACACGTTCAATGAAACAAGGTGTTTGAGAACGCTCTTTTAAAGCAGAATGAACTGAATAACGATTGCATATGATTGCTACATAGTAAAATGTAATCAGAGAGATGAAACTAATAATTAAAACAGCGTTGGGATGAAGAGGGACTTAGAAAGTTCTAAAAATATTTCCCATTTAAAATTCAAATTTAGTAATTATGAACGATTATTTAATTACTAATTACTCAAGCCAATCGTTCATAAAAATCCACTTTAGAAGAAGAGAGTATTTTTTCATTTTCTTACTTTTCAATTTATACATTTTCTAAAGTCTTAGCACACTGAAGAATATGCTAAGACCAATTTCGCAAGTTAAACTACGACGAACTACTTTATAATACAATATACGGCTCGCGTCTCTACAATTAGAAATTGCGAGGTGTTAAATGCAGCAACCAGAATAACCAAAACATGATTCATCGTTATACACCTGAGATTCTATCATTATGTAAACAAAAACTAGTAGTTGATAACAATTACCAATTTACTAATTACATATATATTAAATGGAAAATAAATTTCCAATCCAGTTCTCTTCTACTAATTTCAAACGAATCGATATTTATAATACTAATTCGACTAATAATTACCAGCCAAATAGAATAAAAATGATCATTTGCAGTCCCATATAAACCAGCCTTTAGCTGTTGCTCGTTAATTCAAACCAGAATTTGAAGCATAATTAATATTTACAAATAAACCAATATCTATCAGCTCTTAGCTCAACAAATTCTGCAAGAAAATAATTTAACGTTCTCAGTCAGCGTGTCTCAGCCTATCGTGACCACGAAAATAGAGACAGGGAAAGCACCTTAAGAAGCTTGGACAGCGCTGCGTAACCCGCTGCGTCACGCGATCTGTCGCGTGTGCGTGTGGTGGTCCACGAAAATAGTCTGTACGGAGCCTGCGACGATATCCGCGTCCATTCGGCGATCGTAGCTAAAACCGAGACTCTGTACACGCTCGTATGTGTGTGTACTCTTGCATACGTTGTTCTAATCGTCTCGATTCTTGTCACCCGTGTTCTCTCACCATAATCCTACGTTAAGCCATCGTCTGCATCGGTACGCCGCCACGCACGTTGCACTCTGGGTAACAGGCAGTTACGTATCATCACCATTACGGGCCACCATTGTCTCATATAAACATCGATTTCTCACTGAGGGATGACACAGACGTACACACGCCATCGACAATTTTAATTAAACCGCGCGAGGGGCGACGAGACATATTAGCCATTGGCAGACAAAGATATACCATCGCTGATACGTCATAAATAGAAAAGGTCGAAAATAACCTCACTCGATACCGTGGCGCTGCCGTCCACGCGGAACACGAACGGCAAGAAAGCGATGGAGAAGCCAAGTTCACTGCTCGTGCCCTTCGACACGCGTTGATAATGATCTCCTCGAATTCAACCTGCTGCTCCCAGGTGGAATTCCAGGGGTGAATGTCTCGGACACACGTATCGTTGAATTTGTAATTGAACATTGTTAGTTGATACGAAGAGTACTAATTGTCGATGTTTCTGTTCAAGGTGTTACGATACAGGGTGGACCCATGATCAGAACTATGGATGTTGCGGCTATGTCGGCGGCCTATGCCAAGCGAAGAAGGAAAAAAAAGAGGAGGAAGCAGATTTTGCAAGCAAGATTTGCTACGGTGAGCAAACGAGTTTGAGAATTATTAGGTGGGAAATGTTGGGGGTATTTAGTTTGGAAAAGATGATTCTTTAAGTTTTCTTGATTATTTATTATTTAATACATTTTTTATTTTAGGTTTATACAGGAAAGCTTGTGGCTCTGTGTATTTGAATTTTAACTTTTATTCATTAGCCCTATTTTCTTGGTAAAAATTGGAAAGAAAATTTAATATTATTCTGTGTTAGAAAGTTTACTTAGAATCAGGAACTTTATATAGGTCAGCAATCAAGAATAGATTTAAGCTATTGTTTAATAAAAGTTATTTATTAACAGAAGAAGCTACTTAGAAGAATCATCATATTAACTCTAAACTAGTCTAAAGTATTTAAGTAAATTAAAGAATTGAAGAACATGATTCATACAACTAAATATTGTTACTTTAAAGTATCCAAAAACTGTATTGACTAAAAACTGTTATCAAAATACAGGGTAATACGGAGGATGAAGAGGAAGGAGAGTACAGCTCCGAGTATGATACCGGTCTATCGCTTCCCAAGCTGTCTTGGACAACATGTTCAACTTCGACTACAACCACGACAACAACGACCAGTAATCAGCCGCTGAACCCCGAGTGCCAGGAGTTCCAGCTGCGAAAAGTTGTTAAAACTCAAACCTCGCTACCTGCTATTCCAACCTCCGCCAATAATACACCTACGTCCGAGAAGAGCTCGACGATAAATCAGTCGAGCATGGACGATAAACCACCGTCGGATACGACTCCCGTCGACGAGTCCAAAGAAGTATACAACGGCATCGTATCCGACGATTCGGAAAATCAGAATGACGAAATCACCGAGAGCAGCAAGTCTGATAAGCAAGTAGCATCGACATCGACTTTAATAGAGAACAGCCAATCGAAGCTGCTAGAAGCGACTACGGATAACGAAGCGAATAGACTGACGAACTGCCTCCCCGTAGACGAGGAATCAGTTCTTTTAACGAACGAGGTGACCGAGGTCGGGAAACTGTCGAGCACTACCAAAGCAGTAATTCATAATGATTCATCGACTGCCAACGAGCTACACGAACGACCGAGCAACGAGATGAACGGGAAGACCTTGGTGAACGGAAAGCTGGACTTCGACTCGAGTAATAACGACACATCGATAACATTAACAACTTCGAGGCCATTGTCCCCCGTACCTAATAACGAAAAGACGAGATCTAGATCGATCACGCCCAAGAGCGTAGAGAATGTAGCGATATGTGAAGATCAGAATTACGAATCCTTAACAAGCAGCAAGTCATCGTCATCGACAAGTCTATCAAAGAGGAAGTACACCGCGAAAGGTACAAAGTTCGTGAGGGAACCGACACCTGGTCCAGATCTGAACAGCAGCACGGAAGTGGAAACCGAAACAAAGGTACGCGAATTGACTCAGAGTCTAGAGAAAGTGGATCTGTCGAACGACTTGAAGGCAGATTCTGTGTTCGAACCTCGTGCGGATAAAGTGGTAAAGGATGGCCAGGTATCGAATAAGTTTAGAATGAAAACGGTGTGCAATCGCTTGAGCAAAGAGGCGATCGAGGCAACGAATGAGGACTCTGGTTTTGAAAGCCAGACACAGCTATCAGATTATCCTATCACGGAGGCGGTGACGGAATGGCTCCGTAGAGAAAAGTCGCCGGATTTGTTTATTGGGTCGGCTATCTCGATGGATTGCGAGGAGGATGAGGACGATGTGGATAAAGAGCCGCCAAAAAACTTGCATGGCAACCCCATGCCTGCACTATCTGTTAATAGCGAAGCAGACAATACGGCATTGTCTTGTGCAGCTAATTGTGGGAAATTCGCAAGGATTAGCAACGTCAACGGTGGGAAAGAACAACAGCAGTCGAAGGGTAACAATAGTACTTCGAGAAGAAAGAAGGATGCGAAAAGGAGACTGGAAGAACGGAGACGAATGGCCAGGTATGCATTGGACAGCAAGGTGAACAGCGAAGTGGTGTCCACATCGGATTCCTGTGATCAGCAGGAGGACCTGGCAAACATCGCGAGAAGAAAGAATCCATCCAGACACCAACAACAGCAAGATGTTGTCGATGATACTTGCGAATTTACTGAGAAAGATAGCGTTGTGGGTATGAGGGTTGCTTTAAGCTCTCGGATCGACTCGAAGAGAGTCAATGCAAGGCGAACGAAAAGACAAGGGAAATCGCACATGCTGCGGAATCCCTCGAATAATATCGATACGAAGATTCGATGTAGTGAGAACGATGAGAACGACGAAGGAATTGTTGAGGACACGATAAGGGTGCGGACGTACGAAAAAGGAGAGGTCATATTTTCGGAGGATGGCAAGCTATTAATGTCTTCCATGTTCAAGCCAGATCTATGGAAGTGTTACGAATTTCCTACGGTAATGGAAACCCTGAGCGAGAGTGAAACGGTTAAACAGACGACCGAGAGGAAGACAGAAGAAGCATGCAAGAGAAAGAACAGTGTCGAGGATGAAGAATGTCGTAGCAGAGTAGGTTCCTTGGATAGCATAGAAGAGCCTGACGTGTTAGAATGCTGGGAAGCTGAAATCATAGAACCTGTGATAACTCCAAAAAGAATGTTACAAACTGAGGGAATACTATGCGAGGGAGAAGCTGCAGAGGATGATACCATTGAGGTTGATCCGGTCAACCTAGAGTATGTGCAGAAGTACTACCGATTGGCACGAGAGAGCGCTAGCATAGAAGAGATTAGCTTAAAGGCGGATCTACCAACGTCGTCGAAATCAGTGCCAAATATGTCTGAGCAGAAAAAGGAAATTCCAACGCAGAAGGAGATTGCTGGAGACAAAAATGACATCCCTATCGACGAAGCTTTTGAAGTATATGAAAGCTGTTACACCGGGAATTCTCCGTTTTTGACGATGGATTCGAAACTTTTTAAACCACAAACATTGTACAGTCAGAAAGGAGAGGCCCCGATATCATGCAAAGCGGTTTGTTGCCAGATTCAATGATTTTGCGAGTATTTTTATCGAGAGCCTCGTTGCACGCGTACACCTCTCACTCCACAGGGACGTTTTATAAGTACTGATGTCAAGGCCGTCCTTTTCTAAGTACCATATGCCTCTGACGTTGTACTCTTTGCTGATTTATACATGTATCGCGTACACGTTGATGGGGAATACGTGTATTCATCGCGCTATCATTATGTTTCTCATTATTATTATTATTATTATTATTATGCGTTGTCTAATTTCATCGAGCGAACTATGGAAAGACAAGACAAGAGAGGAGACAAACCCTGTAGATCGACATATGAAAGTTTGTTGAAACTTAGAGGCATGCTCAAAGGCAGTGGATATAATAATATAGTAAAAGCCTACGTATCGCTATTCATTTTTGTAAATAGCTTTAAGAGGTCGTTCTCGCAAATCTCGTGTTATCGTGAATATTTCGTTCAGATGTATACACGAGAGAACGTATCGCACACCGCAAGGAAAGTGTCGCAAGTCGAAAACAGGCAAATTGCTGAACAGGGCGAAGAAATTATTTCTATTTAGAAAATTAGCTGATTTACCAAATACGTGTCAGCTAAAATTTTATCAGAAATCGCTTCAAGTTTGGTAGATGGAATGTGAGTATTAATATTTTTCATAACGTATGTTTATACTTTTCAAAACAAACCCCTGTCGTTATTTGTGTCGTTTTTCCAGGTAATTTCTTAAGTCGAGTTATTTTCATGAGCAATCAAACTTTCGTGAACATAGAAATGAGGTGCTCGTATGGCTTTTGTTCAGCGATTAATTTTGCGTTGATTTCTTTTCTCCTCTGAATCTGTAATTCTGCGAATTCTAAATCGTTACATGAAAGCGTAAAAAAAGCATGAATCAGAATTTAATTTTTCATGTCAGTGAATCCATTAATGTCTTTAATCTAGTTGGTATCCAATTCGTGTACTTGGTACACAGTATCACATTATTTTCGAGTGTGCAAATAAATATTGTTAATTTTGATCAAAGTAAAACTACAAATTAGGAATTTGTGATTCATTGCTTTCATATTAAATATTAGTACATTATACAAGAACATTACAGTAATGTAATGATTTTTATTTAGCCTACATTCATTATCAGAATGAAATGCAAATTTCAAATGAATTGGAAATCATCTAATTGAAATCAATCGAGGTAATTTCCTTTCTTAAATGTTTAAATAAACATGAACCTAATCTATGACCCTTCATGCTAAAAAAAGCATACAATCTCGTGTTATGATAGAAAATCAATGCATCATCTTTATGCATTACTCTAAGCTGAAGTTTTCTCATTTGCTTCTTTACTTCTAAGTCTCAACAATATTTCTTTTTGGTGTTTCTTGTATGCTTCCTTCATAATCTCTTCATTATTTCAGTCATTTTTATACGATTCGCACAGATTGCACAAATCTTTTTGCGTCGAGTAGAAGAGAATATTAAATTTCTCATTTAAAATGATATTCCACCTTTGACCCATAATTTTCGAGAATTTTTTTGATAAATTATTAAAATTTAAATAATCTGAAGTTATGCAAATTCTTCAATTCATTTTCCATACATTTTCTTTCAAATCAGAATTATTAAAATCATCTACCATTTTTTTTTCCTTCTTTTTTTTTAATCAAAATGTTCCCAGTAAATTAACCATTAGGGTATTTTTGGAAAATAATTCACGAACTCCAATTTTCCTTCTGGAACGAAATAAAATATATCATTCAATTTTCACTGATTCTCTGTACTCATATATATCTATATTTTGTAAGGCTTCCATCCTCATAGCAATATAAGCACGCTATTGTTACAAATCGTTGAGCTTCCAGTATTCATCGAAAATCACTCTTCTCTAATCTTTGAAAAATTTTTCATTATACTTGAATCTGCATTTATTCGTACACATTTCCCTACGTTCAATCAATTCCCCGAATTTAGACATACATTTTCTTTTTCCTATCTTAGCGAATCTAATTTTTCTTTCTTTTCTAAGCTTCACTGAAGACATTGTGGTAGGAGTTCTGGTCGAAATCATTGACAGAATTTGAGGATGACTTGTTATTTATGACTGTCGACGGATATCATGGTATGCTGTAACCACGATCCACAGTAGAATCGGCACTATTGAAGAAAACACGAACGAGAGTGACTGACAGACAGTAACAGGTTTTGATGCATAAATAGATGGTCTTCCAAAGACAACTGTAGTTTCTTCATTCTATATAGGATATTCTACAGGCTGAATAATTTTTATAGCGTGAGGATATGAGTCCATTTCACGAGGACAAAGTAAAAGACATTATGCAAATCTCAATTAAATGAAAATTGTATCAACTCAAAATTTGAAGGAGAGATGATATGCAGTAGTGTGACTAGTACACTGTTACTGTACAGAGTAAGCTATAATTGATTTACTTAGCAGTTACAAGAAAATACTAAAAAATTATTTATCTTGAAACGTAATCCTTGCAGAAAGAAGGTATTGCGATGCATATTAATTAACAATAAGAACAGCATTGAAATATGACATTATTGCAGATTCGTTAGATAGCATCTCATTTGTTAAACAAAGTAAGTTACTAGGTAGAGAAATTAGTGTGACAGCTTGAAGCATTGAAATTCAGCTTACAATATTTTTGTAAGTAATGGCTCCATCGAGTAACACGATATTTTACTCGATGAAATGAAAATTGAAAATTCTTGACCTGTAATACTCTTCTTGCGATCGTGCGATTATATACTTATATATGTATAAGTATATTTATATTTTTGACATTATTGTCAATACGCACTTGATGCACATATTCATTTCGTGCATATGTTCTGAAATAGGATAACACGTTTCACTCATGAACATAAATGTATACATACGGATGTTGCACTTGTTACGACATAGTTCATGCTTTAGTTGAGTTGTGTCAAGTAGATCGAATACCTCAGTTTGCATATTATGTAAGTTGTTCGATAGATGTGGTTCGTGAAAAATCATATATATATACCCCATATCATAAGGCGAAACATACCTCAAAGATACCTGTATATACAAAACTACTGATCATCCAGACATTAGTAACATCAAGTATGATAATGATAATATTAATTATTAATATTAATGATAATGATAATGTTAATGATACTGATAATATTAATAAAACCATTATTACAACAGCGATAGAGGCACAATTGTTCCTGCGAAGCTTTAGATTCCCTAGGCATCATATACGTAATACACAATATCCAGGACGATCCATATACTGATAGAGATTCATTAACATCCAGTTACATTAAAGATAAATGTATTGTTAAATTAAATACGCGTTGCATCAATTGTGTGCCTTATTCCGCGGCTGCCATTTCTGTAACCATTTCAAAGCATTCTCCTCAGTGAGAAAACAAGGGCTATCGAATGATTTCTGTAACAGTTCAAATTTTGTGAAATCGGAAAACGATGAAATGGAGCTTTTTAAGTTCCACGATAATGGTTTTATGTGGGCATGCATACCAAATGGATACATTGATTTCTTCATACATCAACTAACATGTTCATCAAGTATTTACAACTGATGTGCATACGTTCATAAGCATGTAAGCATTAACATTGCATCTTACACGAGACATATTATCGTATACTTACATTTTAGTTGAATTAAAGTAAACGTGTAAGGAATAAATGTACTTGAATTTTGTTGTGTTTTTGCTTAAAAAATAATGAATAAAATGTTTCAATTAATTTACAATATGCTTAATTTATCCCAATTAAATGATTTAGGATTTCCTTTATAAGGAAATTAATATGCACATGTATATATATGAAATGTACGGTATATAGTTGGTACATGTATCTATAATTTACTTTGATAAAGACAAGTTACCACGATCCATTAAAAGTTATTAAAAAGTAAAATTGATAGAAAATCAATGTGTATTATATCATCGTACATAAGGTTTATCTATTAATCGCAATTTGTTATTGTTTCGATCGAGTGCAACTTTCAATTTCAAAAAATTTGTCCCAATACGCAGGCGCACAACGAGCCAATCAGTTAAAGGTCGAGTTACCGCAGCGCCACCAAGTTGGTTCGATAGCTCGAACGCAAGATGGACGTTAACACGATACGATACGATACGATACGATACGATGTGAAGCGAGATGCGAGCGAGTGCTGCCACCATTCGCTCGTACGAGCAGTTCGCGATTGGTTGAAGAAAGATAAAACGATAGGAACCGCTAAAAGGAGGAAAGGAGGGAGAGAGTAAGAGAATGTGCAGTTGTTATTATACCAAGAGAGAGGAATAGAACGGATTGTGTCGTGGCTATGAAGCAGTCTTATATAGATGGACACGCGCAGGTCACACGACGAAAGGTCAGGAGTGTGTGCGTTCGCATAGAGTAAGTGTAGCGGTATCTCACTCTCTCGCACCGCGACTGTGTTCGGAGGTGGAGCGAGAGTGAAAGACGAAGAAGCGAGCGAGCGAGGGCGAGCGCGAGTCGGGCCAGCGAGCGTGGAACGGTGTAGAGCGAGCGAGCGAGCGTGTGGTGGTGGTGGTGACGACTGGTGCCGTGGACGGACGGTCGGTCGGCGGTCGGACCGTGGTGTGTGAAGAAGTGAAAAATTCGCAAGTGGTGTGCTGGGTTGGTGAGCTGGCTGGTTAGTGGTGATATATCGGGGTCGCGCCACGGACAGTGCCGGGGATTTTTGGTCGTCTTGGGGCCTGTTGCCGAGACGTCGAGGGACGACGCGTGGAACCGAAGAGAGAGACCGCGTTAAAGAGCAATGTCTGACCGGGAAAGCCAGGACGATCAACCGCAAAGTAAGGATGAAGAGATCGTACGATGCTGAGTGCACGAGTGTTCGACATGTTTCGTATCGGACACGATTTCTAATACGTGTTGCAAATGTGCGCGACCCGACATCTTTCCGTGCCTGTAGCACCGTGTGCTGCGCCTCCGGTTACCAGGACCGTCTTTTCCATGAGCAAACGCAACGACCTCCGTCGCGGTTGACCCGCTCCGTTACTTCGCGCACGGTCTGTGAGCATCGCGGGCTCGTATACATCCGATCGTTCCTTTCAGCCCTCGTGGCGTTCTGTCAACCGCCGAAAAGAATTGCTATTTTTCAACGATACCCAGGATCCAAGATGGCCGGTCGCGTATCGGCCGAGAGACAAACCCTGTCCTCTTTCCTCCTTCGACTTACTCTCTCTTTCTCTCTTTCTCTCATCGTGTCTCTTTCTCTTTCTCACATTCCCTCTTTTTCTCTGCTTCGTGCTTTTAATTTTTTTTTTCTCTTTTTCTTCTTTTCTGTTTCTTTTCTCCCTTCCTCTTTTTCTTCCACGTCCACGGCCCTTGCGAGTTGAACATTCGCAACTTCCGATACGCCTTTCGTGTACCACAACGTCGTTTCTCCCAGGTGTTCCTTTTGAAAGTCGCGCTCACCGGGAACCGTCCCCTGTTGTCAGTTCCGTGTGACAGGCACCCTGACCGCACTCGACCAGACAACCGGAATAGTCCCGGGTGAACACGCGTGATGTAACTCACCGATCCACCTATCTGGCACACACGTATGTGACACACGCAGATCCACACTCAAAGCTAACCACCCACACATACATATGCTGACAGGCGCGCACACGCAAAACGAAGGAACCACGTCTGGCCACGATTCGCGTAAATTTCACACGTGCCATAGGCGATCCCCACCCCAGAAGTAGCTGGCTCTTGGCCTCGAAACGAAACGGCCACGGCGTGTATCTATCTCGACTAGTGATGGGAGTAATTCGATTATCGTTGAGAAATGCTCGACCGATGTGTGTCGTGATAATCGAGCGGCCATCGATATTCCAATGAGAATCGAAATTAAGCGTGTTGCATTTAACGCCTGAACAAACAATGATTACAGAATACAAATATTCACTAGGGACACGGGGCATCAATCAATATTTGGAAATGTACATTCGACACAAGTGCTCTCATAAGTATACTTGTTGAAATCGAGCACACGCGTGGCTTCCAGCTCGATGGGAAAAAAGGCAGTAAATTTAATCGATGTAACTGCCGTTGATAACGTGTAAAATTATGTAATACGTTCGCTAGATGGCACGTAAAACAGGAATTTATCAATAATTAAAGTGTATTGCGTCGGTAATATTTCCATATAACATTTACTTATTCACTGCTATTGAAACGTTCATTTTATTTAATAGTAACCTTTAAAAGTAATTAATATATATTTTTTTAAATACTCATAACATTTTTGGAAATATTATTCCCATCGTTAGTAATATTCGTGATTTGCATAGGCAATTTCAAATAACTCGCGTTTTTTCCTCTCAAATATCTACTATTTTTACACAAAATGTGGTTATATTTTTCATTTTGCGCTACCAGATGTAAAACTTCAAAATGTCGCGAACACGGTGTCGGCCTGCTTTCTTATTCCGTTTGTTTTATTAATGTAGTATGGAGTTTGGTTAGGTTAGGTTTGTTGTGCTTTTGGAACGGTAATATTTTAGTGTTTTCACGAGCTACATTCATACAATTCTAGATGAACGTTCAATGTGTAATTCGGGTTTTCTCTAGAATTTTCCAACGGTATTTGCCATGAGGTTATTACGATGTAAACGCTATCTAGTGTACGTTTTGTAATTTGTAAGCGGAAATTATTTTCGATGTCTATGGTTGACAATTGCAGCATAGTGCCGCACTAAGATTCATTTCATACGCACGCTACTCTTATATTCATTTTGTTCGTGGCTATTATTTTTAACGGTAATTTTATTTCGTAGGATATGGAAATCCAGGTGGAATGGATACTGGAGGGCCTGATTTCGACCCTGGTGAGTAAACAAAAACATAAAATATAAATATTACATAAATATAACATATTTTTTATTCGGAACGAAAAATATCGCAAATTGTTTGGATGACAATATCGTTTATACTACCTGTAAAACAGTCTCGTTAGCGTTTATCATATATATACGTTGTGTTTACGTTTATGTAATTCTATTACGAATGGAAGAGTATCCCTGGAAAATTATGTAACGAGTCTCGCTAATATTTCACTTAACAATATCGATCTCGAAATTATCGAGAGATGCCATAAGACTAGAGTCATAAATCTTAACATAGATTTAAACCTAAAGATAAACAATCTACATAGTGGAATATGGATGTGTTTTATTACTCGACGAAAAAGTATTATCTCGCTAAATTTTTACAACGTGCCACAAATATTTGTCAAATTTACGACCTAACCATAAAAGTCTCGAAAAACCGTAACAAAGTAGAAAACGTATCACGAGGTGTGTTTCAGTCCTCCCTGCATTATCTACACTCCAAATTGCAGATCTCTTTTTAGAATCTTCTCCGTACGATTCTCGTGTAGCACCTGTGTTACTCCAATTTTCAATCTGTCCGAAAAGCCACGCCATCACGTCGAAACCGCCTTCCGTGCCTATTCTTGTCAAGCGGGCGAGTCGTGTTGGTAACGCGATGCGTCGTATCGCGTGAATTTCGGAGCGTTCGAAACGGATTCATGGAAAAATGGAAGTCGAGGAGAGAAGGAGTAGAAGTAGCAGCAGGACGAGTAAGAGGAGTAGGGAACCGTACTAGCGCAGTCAGCTGGTCGTGACGTCACGCGATCATGTCGTGAAGCTGGGTTCGGTGGTGGGAGGTGCAACGTTGTCACGTGGTCGAGCGGTGAAGTCACGTGGCGCGCGTGGTTCGCGAACGCAGAAGCCGGTGCGAGGTGAACGCCGATTGGTCGCTACGATTTCACCACCATGATGTGCGCATTCCATCAGCATGACGGCGGGCTCCATGAATGACCGGCACGTCATACGTGTACGATTTCGTGTTCGACAACGCGTTGTCGTTATTCTCTGGATATCATTGCTTTATTCGGTTTCTCGAGCAACAATATGTTTCGTGTAGTCGTGCAACGAACTGTGCAGTATCGAGTGCGTGGAACCGCGATGACGGCGTCGAGTCAGCCAAACGCGATGTGTCATCGCAAGATGACGGCATTGTTACGTTGACGGTCTTTTTCACCCTGCTCTCGTTGTGACACATCGTCGCGACGATTTCTCTCCACGCTGCTCTCTTTTTTTTATTTCCTTCGCCTCTCGGGTTCCTGGTCACAACGTCTGTGTGTGCTTGTGAAAGTTTCGAATGGACTACTGTGCCACGGTGTTTCGTCCGTTCGTCGAACCGTCGTTCGACGCCGATTGGAAATCCTGCTTTAATCTTTTAGCGGTAAAGCCGGCTTGAAGTCCGTTGCACCGTGAAGATAGCGCGAGTCCGCGATCGGTCGACCGACTACGAGTCACTCGGGCGATCAATCGAGTTCTCCGCGACACGCGTGAAATCTGTGACTGATTCTCTCCAACGAACTTCGCGAGTGTTTTATTTGATTGGTGAACTTCTAACCTTTTTCCAAAGTGAACCACTGCCACTTCAGTGAGAATGTTTCCGTGTTTCCTTTATTATTTTTTAATCGTGTTCAAAAGTGACTCGTGTGCAAGTTTCGTGAGATTTGGACTTCGCTAATGCCCTTGATTTTAAAAGTACATTGAACTTGTTGCTTCCCAAGTGTTTTCATATCGTTACACGCGATGCTATGTCGGTTTCGGATGCATTTTAAAAAATGTCCATACGAAGATATTGAAATTTAAATTGTTCATGTAGTAAGGAAAAAATTTCTTTTGCTCTTTTTCCAAGTGTTTGGATAATCGGCACAATGGGAGAAATCGTAGAAATTTCGCAAGGCGATGCTCAACAAAACGCAGTGAATGGTTGGGGCGATACTATGGGCAAAATACAGTACTGGTGTCCTGAAGGTAGCTGTTACTCAATAATCTTGGTAGTTTGAGACTCGTAATGTGCCGTAATAGTAATAAGTATATAATGCATTTGTCACAAATATTGGATGATATTCGTAATTTATTATTGTTAATTTCATTTATTCTAGTTTTTCTTTTTTTAAAAAAAAAAAATAAGAACTATTTGAACGTCATTAATTTGTAACATCTGTATCTTATAAAGGACAAATCTGCGAATTGTAATATTTTAGTCGTATTTCAAAACTGATTCGAGTATAGTAAACATTGGCAGGTAATTTTGAAATGTTTCCTTGCTGCTAAAGATAAAACTTAAAAAGCTAGCTTCGCTAGTCGCTATAATCTATGCAATTAACAGTGCGTTCTACACAAGCAATGTTGCAAAGCCGTAGGTAAACAGATTATTATTAACTTTAGTTTACACTGCATTATGAAATACGTGCTCGGCGTGTTCGAATTTGAAATTTTAAACCCGTTCGAAACACGATAAAAATAGCCAGGTTTAATTCACTATTTTACTCTATAGCGTTTATGCTAAAAACATCCCTAGGAATTTTATACGGATGGTCTAGGTTAGGTCGCGTGACGCAAGACCTGAAACTAGTTGACAGGTCTCGTTTTCTTAAACGTTGGCATTTTAGCTGCGACTAGGAGGGAAAAAAGGCTCTAGAAGCTGGTACGCGAACGATGCGTCGCGTGGATACGCTACTGAAATATTTGCTCGATGATTCAGTAACGGCGGTAAATGTTAAGAAACTTGAGATTAAAAATAGCGGGTCCGGACGAGATGAAAAAACTTACGCCCTCCGCTCGATTTTCGAAGGCAAAAATATACGTTTCGCAATGACATGTTTAGTGGGAAAAAAAAAAAAGGAAAAAGTAAATGAACTAGAAATAAATAAAGAATATTCGGTGTCATTTTTTTTTAAACTAGCATAAAATTATCTGTGCAACTTGACGAATCTTCGTCGCGTTCTTTATCGGCCGCCACGTCTCTCACGGAGATAATTTACCGACCGTGAGAAACAGACGAACGCGGAATTCGCAGAAATCCATTGGCGCTTTCGTCACTTGTTCCAACGAATATTGTAGCGAAATCAAACGATCCCGAAGCCAGCGTGTTTCACGCTGGAACGCGTACACAATTCGTTTCGCACCATAGAAACGCCTCGATTCGTGGATAAGTCGGTGAAACGGGAAATCGAGTCCGATCTAACCTCACATTCGCTTCGACTCCCGAGGTTCATTGAAATCTGGCCCTAATTAATGCTTGCTACGTCAATGAGTTTGCTCCTTGATTCTGCTTGAATGTATTGTGACGCTTTAGATCGGCAGTAGTTAGACTTTGAACAGTTAAAATGGCCGGGACAAGACGATAAACGTGTCGTTTTTGAATGTTGCCGAGAATTTAAGGAAGTTTTTATAGGGAATTTAACGTAACCTACAAATTTGTCACTAGTGGATGGCCATGTTTTTTTTCTCTACTACACTACACGATATTAATCTGTCAATGTGTACATGTTTATTATTTATCTAGTCGTTTTTTTTTTTTTTTTTTTTTTTTTTTTTTTTTTTTTTTTTTTATTAGGTAAGAATAATTATGAAGTAACGGAGGAAAAAAATTCGTTTTTCGTCTGATTTTCTTATTCCATGACGAAACTGTGATTAATCATGCTTTGGCGTTGATAACAATTTTTTATAAATATCGATTGAAGCACGATTATTGCATGACGTAAAGGTTGGAATTTTCGCGATTCAAAAGCTGATTGTTGATCTCATCAGCAGTTTTATTGGTTCTTCATCTTTCTCGAATTCTTCGAGATATCTGATACTCGTTTCCGGTATATGAATCGATTTTGATTCGATTGTAGGTTCCTATTGAATTTCAGTTTCCTTTCAAGATCGATGAACTGTATTTTCATTTCTCACTTTAAATGTTATTATCCCTCTTATTTAAGTTCATTTTTCTTATTTATTTCACGAATTCTTCTAAACATTTACATTTATAAATTCAGATGAAAAATAAAGAAATATCAAACAATTAGAACAGGTGTACAAAAATAAAACTAGATTACAAATTACATTGTCATAATTCATTTTTCTAATTTACTATTAATTTCTCCTTAATTTTTCCAGTTTCTTTGATTTTTCATATTACATAATTTTTTTTGATGTTAAATTTATTCGTTTATTTTTAACTTATAACTGTTGATGAATTATAGATTAATTGTATTCGTCCAGGTATGATATTTAGTTTCAGATTAATATAATTCTTCCACTTTAAATAATGGTAACTCCATTACTAAGTAGCGAAATAAATAACTTGCAAACAGTCGACAGAAATACCGAGAAACGTATTGAGCTCGAGGGATCGAATCGTGGTGTATCGCGAGAAAACCTGTAGCTCGGTTCTAACGGTACAAAAATTCAACGTGCTCGTGTCCATCATGAATCATGCATGCGCACGATGCGTTCATAGTGCACGAACCATCTTCTCTGTCTATCTTGCACGACCACCGATGCGTAATGCAAAGGTAATGGAGAGAGGAGAGAGAAAGGTAGTCATATCAGGCAAGACACAGTTAAATACCGATGCAGTTGATCATATTCAAATTTCCCTTGAAACATTACGAATAATTCTCGCGAATTTCATCCGCATAAAAATTTAAACTTGAATATTCCTCGAGATTTACCTTTAGAGGTTATGAAAGTTATGGCTGGTCATAGCGATTATATTTGGAAACGAAGAAGTCGGAGATATAAATGTGAATCTGAAACCAAAATTTTGTGGAGAAATAGAGACAAATATATATTTTTTATTACGTTTTTAATATATTTTACGTGTTACATAGAGGTTAGGTTTGGGTTGATGTTACATGGAGGTTAGGTTTGGATTGATGTTGCATTGAGGTTAGGTTTGGGTTAATATTGCAATCCCCGATTTGTTTTTCTATTTATACGTGATGTATTATTGCTCGTTAGATATATTTTTTAATTCTTCGAAAGTCTGAGATAGATTGCAGCGTATAACCTGAAGTGGGCCCACAGCCCTAAGTCGTTAAGTGGTGGCGCTACTCGACAGAATAATTTACGACCTCCCTATATCATATTCTACCTGTTAGGGCCTAACAATTCTGATTTCACCAAACCATTGAATATTCTACAAATTGTGTAACTACTCGGAAGACCACTAAGTCGATGTTCAAACTAACTTACGTATCGTCTAATTACACGATAATTCGCATTTTTCATATCTCAAAATTAAAAAAATTCCTCGATTAATTTTTTTAATATTAAAAGTATCTATCTTAGATTATTTATCCGATATTTATACTGCTTTAATTTGATAAAAGTTCAGAAATTAACAATCTACGCCTATTTCTTTCATCGTTTAAAATATTTTTAATATTATAATTTTAATATTAACACTTTGACTGCCATGCACTTTTTATATGGCACGCTCTTTTAGGGGGCCACGATAAAATTTCCGTTATTTTTGTGATATAATGATGAATTATCAATCACTGTGGGAAAAAAGATGGTGCAAATTATTAACGTCTTGTATTCAAAATTTTCTATTTATCTACGTTGTTCAAATATTAAAAAATTGGTTAGAATAAAACAAATTTTTATTAAATTTAAATATTATTAAATATAAATTTAAAAAATCAGTAGTGCCAGACAATGGTGACTATGGCAGGCATCGTGTCAATATTAATTTTTAATCTTTTAATTTTAACATTAATATTAATTTTTAATCTTTTAATATTAAAAATATCTGGTACTTTAAATTACTTCTTTCGATATCTATATCATTTTATTCCCAAAAAATTTTAAAATCGGTGAAATATGTTTCCCTACGAGATCACGCGTAGATCATACGGATCCCAGATCTCTGATCGATCCTTCGTGCTATACATAGGCGGACGGTAATTACATGGGAAATTTGAAGTATATCTCTCAGTGTTCGAATTAGAATCATAATCGCAAAGGCTGAGGAAATTTTCCCTATTGATGTTAATCATGCGGTTTCATGCGATCGATAGGGTATTTAGATTGCGTTAGGGCATGGCGTTTCTGAGTTTACCACGTCAATGGATATTGCACAATCTGTGCAGTCCATGAACTGGATGCACCAATAAGCTAATTTTTTGAAATTAATTTTAGCCCCTAACCTAAAACCTAATTTATTTCGTGATCTTTCCAAAACCTAATCTTTCGAAAAATTACATCAATAATACAACATTCAAGTTAATTTCCCATTTATCCAATATTTCTAAAAATTTTCGTTTCATCGATTTTTGCATTTAATCAATTTTTGTTTAATATTTTTCATATCTCCAAGGCACTGAATTTTCCTGATTTTTTGAGAATTTCCAAAAATTTGTATTTTTTCAATTATAGTTATACGTATTGACTTGAGTATCTCGCAGATTTATCGACTGCTTCAGTGCCGTTTAAAATTAGCTAGCAGTGCTGTAATCGATCGTAACGTATTTGCTTAATTAAACGCGATAATCCTTGTATACCTAATTGTGTAATTCGAATACGTCATAATGTCATAATAATTACTCATAGTGTTACACGTATCGATGTCAGCGTTGCATACTTTAACGAATTATTATCTATAAAAACTATCGTGTCTCGTATATTTTTAATTAACATAAATTGCATAGTAATCGATTCGTCGTTATCATGGTTATTTATTATGACTGTTATTCATCGTTATTACGTTTATTATAATTGCACATTCTTTCTTTCACGAATTTTTACACTAACAAAATACACATTGAGAAGCTATGGCTATTTCTCAAGTTTGGATAGGTCAGTGTTTCCTCTAACTCCACTGTTAGAGGAAGCCATTCAAAATATTACAGCCCTCGACTCTTCTTAAACTTTCAAGATACTGTATCTATCTCAAAGCTACCAAAACACCTCGTTCAAACGTTTCAACGCTAGAGTTTCATACTTAATCCGATTTAAATTAATGAAAGAGGGAT